ATATTAAATGGCTCAGATTTGGAAACACCGGAAAACAGACCAGGTTGTTATCTGCAAATACAAGAGACTGCACACAAAATTCAGTGTATGAGGATTCTGCAAAGATGTGAGTTCTTATATATTCCATTTAAGATGTAAAAATTAGGTTGCCAATTACCTCCAAAGTACGTCTGCATAACTTCAAAGAAACAACATATTGTAGTTGTTTGAGCAGACCAATAACTCGACAAGTGACTTCTTTTTGCCACTCGGGAGGAATGTAAACGCATGCATTCACCAGGGATGATGTATTACTCAAGATAATCTCGTTTGATAGAAATCCGATATATTCAAAATATGTAAGATTTTCTGCGTCGATTTTAATCCTACAGACACTAATAGGATCATACAATGGCTCCTGAAAGTGTAGAATATCCTCCTCAAAGTGTAGAATATCTTCTATGGTCAAGCTCTTTAAGGTGGAATTGGAAGTGACAATGTTCTTCAAGTTCATCCAGTTATGTGATAAAACCAACTCCTCTAGAACTGGACAACCTAACAGAAGCTTTTCTGCATGATCATCATCCGGGAACACAACAGAAAGTAGGTGCAGGGTTTTCAGACATGGAAAAGAAATGCAAGATGGGAGTTCAGTAACATAATAATTTGATCTTATTTTCAGGCTAACCAACGGTGTTCTATCAAGAATAGACCAAGGAATCATAGATGGATCCTCTCGAAAGAGAGACAGATCAAGCTCCTGAACATTGTGCATGATTGCATCAGAAATCCATGAATGTATTTGAGAATTTTGTATTTGAGATTCTTCATAGCTACTAACACATGTTAAACGAAACTTGATGATATTCGATACACCCCGTAATCGGAGGACTTTTTCTATAAACTTCATGAAGGAAGTAACATCAGGCTGATGACGATCATGAACCTTTTTATCATAAAAGAATAGATCATCAAAATCGATGTCGGAGACAGAACAAAACAATAAATCATCAAAATCGATGTTGGGGGCAGAAGCCCAGAGGTTCTTCCATCTTGTTGATAATATGGATGTCTTTACAACTTCTTTGGTTGGCATAAATGATAGGATATGGTGAACAATACAGTCAGGTAGATTGCTGATATAATCGACCATATCACCTATATGTTCAATTTCATGTTGCTCATCGCCTCTGTGTGCACCCATGATTAGCCTCTTTGATTTCCTACTCACTGTGTAAAGGCAAAAATGTCAATCAACTAAACTAAAAGCATTCACGGGAAACAATATAACTTTATCATGATATATGACACACACATCAAAGAGTATTTTTTGAGCTGTGCCCTAATTAATGATATCTCTACCATAGTATACGCATAAACCCTAGACATGAATGCTAAAAAAACGATATCTCTTGATTGTTAAGAGAAATACGATAAACAGAATTCAGCTTCCATATAAATAAACGAGGACATGATTTGTTTCTGCATATAAGATGTTTATAACTGATACTGTAAGACATTCGCAGAGACTTGCATATAAAGACATATATATATATATATATATATATATATATATATATATATATATATATATATATATATATATATATATATATATATAGAGAGAGAGAGAGAGAGAGAGAGAGCGATGCTGACTTTTGATGCTCCGTTCGTGACTCTTTATCGACGAATAGCCAAGAGTTTTACCGGAAATTGGCGTGTTAAGAGTGCGAGTGAGTGTGTGAGTTCGAAGGAAGGAAGGAAGAAGGGGCGGGCTTTCTTTCCCTCTCTCTTGCCCAATTTTTTAGAATAATTTACTTTTTTTTTAAAAGGGTTTTGAAGTGTTGGTAAGGAAGGAGTGATCCTTTTAGGCGGTGTTTGATAAATTAAATTATATCTAATTAGTTTATTTGTGAATAAATAATATTAAAATTAATTTATTTAAATTATTACTATCACAATATTAAGGATTCATATTCAAACACTTAAACTTAGTTATGATGGTGGGAATAAGCAATAAACACCTTTTTTTTCTTTGTCCAAACACCCCTTAAATGAGAGCTCATATGTTTAAATCTTTTAGAAGACATTCGGTGATATTTAGGAATAAGTTACATAGTTTGTTGTTTCAAAAAAAAATGACTCTTTTATCTTATATGATTTTGACAAAGTCACAAAAACTTCTACTTTACAAAGGAAACGACATATGGTCTTTTTGAAATTTCTGTTACAAAAGTAGTTCGTATCGTAAAAATTAAAGAAAAAAAACATTTGTTTTAGACCATGTTAGAAATCGCAATCCGGTAGTGTGAAATGGTTACGATTTGAACTGTCTATATTTTTTCGGGAAAATGATTTGATAGGGTAAGAAACTTTTTGAAATATAAATATTTAGTTATTATTATTTTTTTCTTATAAAATAAACCCTTATACTTTATTTTTTTGTAACAATGCAATCCTTTTGACCGGCTATACCCGATATACCGGTCATATACAAATTTTCTTTTAGGGAAAATGACTTGATATGGTAATATAATTTTTGAATTGTACACATTTAGTCTTTATTCTTTTTTTTTTATAAAATAAACCCTTATACTTTATTAATATGTACACAATAGGTCATTTTCACCGGATTCTACAGATTTTGCTTATATGGAAGCACAAGTGGCACTAAATAGCAATTAATTAGCTTAGTCACCGGCGGTGGGTGATCTTCCAGCAACAAGAAAATGACGGCAACCCTTCTCTTTCTCGTCTCTCTTCCTTCCGGGCGAACAGCAACAACCAAACACCATTTACCTGTTGTGTTTCTCCGATCTGTCTCTCTTTGCCTCCATCTTTGAGATATGTTGCCAGAAAAAGAAGAAAGAATTGACGAGGGGGCTACCAGAGTAGCTCCTCGCCACCAACTACCGTCTCTATTTCCTCCTGTCACCCCCTTCAGCCTTGTTGTTTTTGCCATCATTTCTCCTTACTACCAGTGATGTGTAGGAACACACAAAGGAGTCGTCGGATATCGGGGTTATCCCTCTTTTTCATGATGAATAAAAGTTGGAAAAATCTCGTTGTGGATATGTGGATGTCACCTGGGTATTTCATTTTAACAAAATAAAAGAAAGGGAAAATGACTTGATAAGGTAAAATACTTTTTGAAATGTACACATTTAGTCTTATTCTTTTTATTTATTATAAAATAAACTCTTCCACATCAGCAAAACCTGTAGAATCCGGTGAAAATAACTTAATGTGTACATATTCATAAGGTATAAGGGTTTATTTTACAAAAAAAAAATAACGACTAAATGTATACGTTTCAAAAAGTATCTTACACTATCAAGTCATTACCCCTATTTACTCACAACCCAACCGACTATTGAATTATTACTTTTTCTTTCATTTATATATACAATAAATACTATCCACCAAACTTTATATTTTATTATTTATTAATAAAATTATTTAAACAAAAATATACATTATTTAACAGATTTAAATATACATTTTAAATATATAAGTACTATATTTTGTTTGAAGAAAATTAATAAATAAAAGTATTGATATATTTTTATATACTTTTTGTAATAAATATAATGTATAATATTATGTTTTTATAGTTTAAAAGAAAAAAAAAAATTAAAGAACATGGCACTTTCCAAGTCAATCGGTTGTGACGTTAGGGCGTCAGATTATGCTTATTGAAAACAATCATAAATGTATTATTTTTCTTTTATTTATATCTACAACAAATACTATCCACCAAACTCAGTATTTTATTATTTATTAACAAAATTATTTAAAGCAAAATATACATTGTAAAGAATTAATAAATAAAAAATATTTGTATATTTTTTATAATTATTGTAATATATATAATATATAATATTATGTTTTTAAAATTTTAAATAAAAAATTAAAAGAAAATAATACATGTGGCACTTTCCATCTCAATCGGTTGTACCGTTGTTCGTCAGACTATGTTTGTTGAAAACAATCATAACAGTTTGACGTGTATAAAATAAAAGTCATTTTAGTGCAACCAATACCTAAAAAAGCGGATGAGAAGACGAAGATCAATCTATGACACGTGATCTTGGTTAAAATTTTAATGAATATGTATCAAATAATATGTTTATTAAAAAATTGTAAAAAAATTTATCAAAATATTTCTTAAAACTATCCTTATGGTTTGGTCCAACTTTAGAAGGATAAAATGTTTATTTTATCACACATTAACAGTCAAGAAAACAAAATCTTTTTATTTTAATAAAAAAATAGTTTTATTCTTCTTTTGCTAATTATCCTATTAGACATCTTATTAATATCATGTTACTTGTTAATATATTAATTCTTCATTTTAAATTTCAAATTTTAAATTTCTCACTCTAATTACATTAAAATAACAGTTAGAACTAAATTAATACAAATTATAATATGATATAATTTTACATATTTATTTAAATCAATATTATAATTTTATATAACTACAAAATATATTCTAATTAATAATTTATTTAAAATAATTGATTAATAATTTTAAGTTTTTATTATGAAAATTTAATTAATTTTGTAAATATGATTCGTCTAATAAACTAATGACACAATAGATTAATGGATTATCAAAGATATCTATGATCTATTCTAAATATAAGTGTTTGTGCTTGTGGATGTATAAAGGTGGATGTATAAAGGGGTGTTTTTCATTAACCTTAGGAATTAAGGGACTAAATCTATAACTTGTAAGGGTGTATATGTATATAATTAAAGAAGAGGGAAATAAAACCCCTCCAATTTCTCCCTCGAATATATGACCGATTTCTCCCTCAAAATATATGACCGATTTCTCCCTCAAACTCGATCATACTCTCAAGATTTTAGCGGTGACGCCAATGGCAATTTAACTCTTCCTCATTCTTCAATAAATAGTCTCAAACGAGAGGATCTTCGATTCCGTTAATCTACAGCACATCAACAATCTCAAATATTCGCTCAAAGTCAGCTATTTCTCTTCTGTATTTGTTTATATGCAAGTTTGTGCAAAGGTATAGTAAGATCAATTATGAAGATTTTATTTGATAAAAAAAAAAGCATTCTTTAGTAAATGCATCCCCTCCTCTTTTATTTATATTAAGCTGAATGTTGTTTTTCGTACTTATCACATGAAACCACTGAGTTCATTCATGTTATTTGGTTATTTCGATTTAGTCTCTCCAGTAATTATAAAAGAAGTAATCAAAGAACTATCAAGCTATTTAGCATATCAATTAGTTTTACCGTATCAATATTTCTAGGGTTTGTATTATGTATGTCATACACCTTCTGCACCGATTTGCCATAAGGGTGATCAATATATACGATTCCATTGTATCTAGGATTTATAATTGCCATCCATAAATTAGAACAACTCAAAGACTGCTCTTCGTTTGTTCATTCGCGTTAAGAAAGTAATTTATATCGATTTTGAGTCCTAAAATATAACCGTTTAAGTGATGATATGCTGAAAAGCCTTGATGATCTGGTTAAATTGTTTTTCTTGAATGTTTTCAGTTTATTTGATTTTGAAGGAAGCTAAATAAAGTTGACTTTTTGCATGTAGGCTGTGTGTGGGAAATCAAAGAGGTTAACCATGAGTGAACACAGAGGCCACAAGCAACATGATATTGATTTCAGCAATCTACCTGATTGTATTCTTGATCAGATCCTGTCTTTTTTGCCCACAAAAGATGCTGTAAAGACATCTATATTATCTACAAGATGGAAGAACCTCTGGGTTTCTGTTCCCAATATTGATTTTGATGATGCATTGTTGTGTGCTAGAGAGGTTGATGGTTGGCGTAGGCCTCATGTGACTTCCTTTGTGAACTTTGTAGAAAGAGTTCTACGCTTATGCAATCCATCAAAGATGGAGAAGTTTCGTCTATCATGTCGTGTTTTCCGTGATGCATTTCAAATACATTCATGGATTTCTCATGCAATCATGCACAATGTTCAGGAGCTTGATCTGTTTCTCTTTTCAAAGGATCCATCTATGATTCCTCGGTCTGTGTTTCATAACACATCATTGGTTAGCCTTAAAATAAGAATGGATTGTGCTATTCAACTCCCATCACATGTTTCTTTTCCATGCCTGAAAGCCTTGCAATTGTCATGTGTTCAGTTCCTGCATGATGATTTTACAGAAACGTTTCTCTCAGGCTGCCCGGTTCTTGAAAAATTGGTATTATTCAATAACAGCTTTAAATCGAACATTACAATTTCAAGTTCCTCCTTAAAGAGCTTGACTATACGTGATCTGTCAAGGTTTGGGGAAATCGATGATCTTAGTGGCTGTAAGATCAAGATTGGTGCAGAAAATCTTATTTATTTTGAATATATTGGATATCTATCCAACCAGATTATGTTTAGTGATACATCATCTATCGACATATCATTCATTAATATTCCAACTCACAATGAGAGGCTACAGAAAGTTGCAAACCGAGCTATTTATCTACTTAAACAACTACGATATGTCGTGTCTTTGAGGTTATCTAATCTTACCTTGCAGGTAATTTACAATCTAATCTACATATTAAATGGAATATATAGAAACTCGACTCTTTGTGCCCAACCTTGATAGACTAACTTTGTGTTTTGCGTGGTTTCTTTCCCATGCGAAGTCTTTTATTTGCAGATAATATATGTTTTCCCGTGTTCTCGAATTTGACCGATTTAATGCTGACTACAGAAATCGGGATGAATCATACATTTAGAGTACTGATGGGTTTGCTTTCTTCTTGTCCAGTTCTACAATCTATTTGCTTCTCTGAGGTGAATTACTCTATTCTCAAAATTGAAATTAACATCATAATCATCACCTTGATGACCTAGTGGTGGAAGGCTTGCGAAACCACTCTCCAAAAGGGGGTGACACAAGTTCAACCCCCACTTAGTTTAATTGAGGGGTCCCAAAGGGATTTTTTAAACAGTCCAGATGGACAAAGGACAAAGGGCCCCGTAGACCTGGCAATTCATTTTTGTGTCGTGTCACATGTCAACCACGAATTTTACATTATAAGAACTGTAAAATGTGTTCGGATGTGAAACACGAAGAGGACACTCAAATAATTTGTGTAACACGTGACAAGGCACGAATACAATACGTTTTTAACTGCGTTACACGAAAACCACGTATACTATATTTAAGCTCGAAAAACAAGTAAAACAATCTTAATCCAAATTACAAGCTCCCAACTACTATCTATACGTGTTTACGCGCGTGTGTTATACGGATTGCATGTTACATATATTTTATTCATATCTTACTAGGGTAATTCGTGTCTGACATGTGTTTGACGCAAAACACGAATTTTTAAATTCATGTCGACACGAATTTCCCAAACCCATACACGAAAAACATGTGTTGTGTTTGTATCGGTGTCGGTCGTGACTCGTGTCAAGTATTAAATTGTTGGGTCTAGGGCCTGGAGGTTGCCCGTGGAGTCCACCATAACAGTAATAATAATAATAAAGTTCACCATAATAAAATAAAATAAAAACTGAAAAATCATGTCGATGATCATGATTATCAACACATGGTTTACTATAAATGTTGGTTTTCTATAAATGTTGTACAGGGACTCATGTACCTTGGTGAGAACAATTTAATCTGGTCATCAATACCTATATGCATGTCGAATTGCCTAAAGACAGTGTCCATGAAGAACTTTCATGGTTATAATTCAGAAATATGTTTACTAAAACATGTTTTGAAGACTGCACGTGTATTGGAGAGGATGGATATTAGGTGGTCTGAGACTTATCTACGAGATTTGAAGAGGAAAACAAAGGCGAGGAAGGAATTGGAAAAGATTGTAAGGAGCTCTCCTGCTTGTGTCATCAAGTTCTCGTGAAACCTCAAGAAACCTGTACCCACTTCGATTCCTTTTTTAGTATTTCAGGATTTTGGATGCTAATTTCCGGTATATTGAATCTAAGGTTAATTACACTTGATGTTATGTCTAGAGTCGATGCTGTTCTAGCTTATAACTTCATTGCATTTGGGTCGTAAGTGCACTTTTTCTGTGATGATATATTTAAATGAAGTTCACAAAGTATACTTATGTCAAATGACACAGCCTCTCTTGCATGCATGTGGTAGAGACAAGTATATAATTCACATAGTAGTGAAAATAATTTTGAACTAATTAAGACTCGTTTGCTTGTAGGAAATAGTTTTTGGTTTTCTTGGAAAAATATTTTGGAGAAAAAGAAATTAAATTGTTTCTTCCTACCTTTTATGCTTACAAATATTTCTACCCACTAAAATTATGAGAAGTATCATCATTCCACCATTCAATTTAATTTTATTTGATATATTTCTAATATACTTTTAATAAGATAATTAAAAATATATAAAATGATGACATATATCATAATTTTAATAGGTATAAATATTTATAGTCATAAAAGGTAGGAAACAATTTAATTTCTCTTTAGAAAAAGTGATGGATTTTTGTACTGAGTAAATAAAGTTAGAAAACATGATTAGTTAAAGTTGATTGAGTTATTATGTTCGATTGTTTTTGGTTTTCTTATAAAAGTTTTAAAAGAAAACGATAGAGTGATTGAGTTTTTATTTTCCATTTAAATAAAGTGATAGTTTCGTCTTTAACTATTATTTGGAAAATTGTCTTTTAGCCCACAAAAATCTTTAATATATATTAAAACAGAAACCTTATGACATCACCTTAAACAATCTAGACCCTTAATTGTATTTCAATCTTATGTTTTTCACTCTTAAATCAAATTGTTGATACCATCTTTTTCAAATGGAATGTATTTAACTCCAATAAAAACTTTGCAATTGTCAAACAAAATTAACTTAAATCTGTTGAAATAGAATGTATTTAATTCCAATAAAAGTTTCTCATATTTTAAAATCTTGAATTTTCGATTATAAATGTTTTAATATGGTCAACTTTAAAAACATATTACTAATAGTCATTTTAATTAAAGCATTAAATATCAACCATCAATATAAATCTGTTTATATTAGTAAACCTGAAACATCCCAAAATACAGTCCAAAAAATTTCGTTTTTAATTCATTGATAAAACCATGAATAACATCATCAAGTGAACATCATAAAACATGTATCTCAAAAACATCATATCAATTGTCAAAATATCAAAGTATCATCTCAAATATTAGAGTAAAATATCACAGGCTATAAAACTATGGTGTGTGCCATGCGATCATCTTGAGCCATTCCCTTTACTACTAGAAGTACCTGAAACCAAAACTGAAAACTGTAAGTACGAAGCTTAGTGAGCTCCCCCAAACTACCAAATACCATACACATAAAATTATAACATATAACATAACTTTAGGACTATGCCCAGCTGCATCGGGATGAACCCGACATCGGCTTATCCTGTCCGGCATCGGGCTCACCCCGGCATCAGACCACGTCCATCAGGCTTGCCCTGACATCGGGCTTACCCCGACACACACATTTCATAACATATATCATAAAACATATAACATAAACACATAACATACATCGCGCTTGCCTCAGCATCGGACCGAAGCCCTGAACACATAACACATAACACGCATGAATCATAAAGACATCAAGCATACATAACTACTTCTCGAGACCACCTCGGCATCGGACTGAAGTCCGGAACATATAATCTACATCGGGCTATCCCCGACATCGGACCGAAGCCCGGTACATACTAACATACATAAATGGGTCGGCATTGGTGCCTTCGACCCGTTCCTACTGAAGGAAGACTCACATCTCAAAGTGGATGCTGATCTCGTGCGTGAGGAATCTCTGTTGGCTGCTCCCACGACTCCCCGACTAACTCTATACAATAATACTTAGTCAGAAAACTGAAAATCCATCTAAGGGTAAAATAACCATTTTTACCCCTGGTAAAAGTCAATGCTCTGGTCAAAGTCAACATTTTGGGTTGACCAACTCGTCGAGTCAACCTTTCAACTCGTCGAGTTCTATAACTCATAAATCATGGAATCGCGACTTAACTCGTCGAGTCCTATCGAGCTACTCATGGTCGCGACTTGGCGATTCAACTCGTCAAGTCCCTCTACAGACTGGTCGAGTTCTACCATAAACTGAAACGAGACAACACGACCCGACTCTTCGAGTTCCCTCATGGACTCGAGGAGTCCTTCTGTCTGTTTGGCCATCTTAACAGAATAAGCCCTTGTTCTATATATATCTAAAGTCCATACTTCGATTGTTCACTGGAAATGACCTTTATGAGGGTAAAGTTTCCAACTTTACTCGTTGATAGCCCTTTTTGAGGGGTTTAACTAAAACCCTTATTCCTTTTAAGACATAGATCTTATCCAAACAGCCTTAACATCTCAAACCAAAGCATGCAAACCTAGATCTAGGGCCTAGGTACCAGTTAACCACGAAAAGTCTCAAGCTTGCTTCCATGCATGGCCTTTTTAAGCTTAAAAAGCCATTATAATGTCCTTAGCACTTGCATGGGGACTCTAAGGGCATAAAGTTTGCACCTTTATGTCCTCACAACCCCTCTAGACACTAGATCTAGAAGAATACCCACCAGGATTGATCCTTTGCCAAAAACTATCAATCTTGGACTAAAAACCCACATAAAAATGCAAATAAATAGATCTAAGAAAAGAATGATCAAGTTGAGGCTTTATTACCAGAAATTACAGCTAAAGTGTAACATCCCAAGTTTGTCGATTGTAGCCCTAAGGATGGAAGGGTAAAGCCATGAAAAGCCTAAGTGCTAAACTATAATTCTGAGACCAGGAGGAGTACGTTGCGCGTACATAAAGGTACGTTGAGCATACTAGGGCGTGCCCCAGTACGTTGGGCGTACACTTGTGTACATTGGGCGTACTTATAAAGGATGAAAACCCTAATATCTCGGGTTGGAAGCTATAAACATCCTTATTGCTCATTTTTCTCTCCTCCTTCTTAGCCTCCATCTTCCAAAAACGTTCCCAAACCCTAGTTCTTGTGTGAGAGAGTCAATTGGTGGGTATTTTGAGCTCTTGAAGGGGAATTCATTGCAATAAGTGGTTGAAGAAAGAGATTGGCTTGTAGATCTGAAGTTGTGTTGTGCCCTAGAAGCTCCAAGAGGTAAAAAGCTTCAAACTTTATGCTTGTAGGTCATAGATCTAGCCTTTGTATCATTATGGAACCATTTCTTGTCCCAAAACCCCAATATGGTGTATGGTGCATTTGGGACGAGATAAACTGTAACGCCCGTAGATCCGGGCTAGTCAATTTAGAGACGATAGGCGTCAAAAATGAATTTTTGATGAAAGATTATTTAGAATGAATAATCTTAACTAAGTTATAGTATATGTTACAAGGTTTCCGTTCATATAAAGAACACCGAAATCCGAGTTATAACGAAGAAGTTATGACCTGTCGAAGTTTCGCGACGGAACCGGCACGACGTTGAATGACGTAAAAAGTGAATTTACGTTAGAGTGATATTTAGCCTTAGAAATCTAAACGAAAGTCGTAGAGTTCATTAAACCATGAGCGTCCATAAAAAGAACGTCCAAATCTGACTTCGTATGAGAAAGTTATGATTTTTCTAAGTTTCGACTTAGCGGTATGCAGCCCGAATACTCGATTTGAGACCGAGCGGTTTTTAGCCGAAACAATCTAAATGAGAATCGAAGGTCTCGTTAATAGGAGTAAAACGATAAAAAGATAGGCGAAAACGGACGTCGGATAAATAAATTATGATTTTATAACGGAGTTTTCCTGTCTCGGCCTACTAAAAATAAATAATAAAAATAAAGTCAAAATTAGCCGACGGAGTCTAAACGAAAGTTGTAGATCGTAGTCTCACCTATGCGGGGATATAAAGAACGTCGAAAAGGGGCCAAATCCTATCTTCTCCAAGGCCCTAAGCCTTATGATCACTGATGATCGGGTCACGGCCCGAATAATGAAGCAATTCAAAACCGAGTGTTACATACTTTCTATTTAATACAAACAGCATGTGTGTTTTGTGTTTATGTACAAATTACACAAACTTCAAACATACTATATAACAAAGGAATGAGGAAGAGATCAAAGGAATATTAGACTATGATTTTTTTTAATTGAAATAATTTTAAAGTTTAAACTACGAAATATGAAATTTGGTGTTATGATGATTACTTTTGTATGTTTTTATTAGGATTATTATTTTTTGTTGGTGGACTTGGTTTGGA